CGAGTAAAAATTCGACCGACTCGTCAGTTTGGAAAGGACGGACAAGCCAGCTGCATGGTTACTAAATGATGTTAGCCCATCTACCTAGAGATATCTGGCCACGAGCGCTGTGCACTTCGACAACCCCCAAGAACTAATGTACCCGCTTCTTAGCTAAATAAGAATCTTTGTGTTGGTTGCGGGAAGATTTTTCACCCAGGTGGATCAATCAGTAGGATTGCGGGATTAGGGGTCACGTAAAAAGGGTATGCCAGAAATCTACTAAAATTTAAATTGGAACCACGAACAGATCAACAAGGTGCAAAACAGGGCGTGATTCATTAATTTTCTCAAATATTAGTCTGAAAGTTCCCCCACTCGCGCCATCCACTAGATTGGCACGTCAAAACATAGCCGTAAAGCCATTTTGACACCGCCCGGTGCTCTACGTCACCTTGTATGGAATGGAGAGAGATTTGAAGGAGGTGTCCCAAATTCATCACCGTCACTGACTATAATGCATCAAACCCACGCTGCATTTGGACCCACCCCTCGTGCCAACTAGTCACCGAATACGTGGCATCACAGACAAACAATTCATATAAAGGGTGTGTTGTTCATGCATATAAGAAATGGCTCGAGGGAGACTTGACAGGTGGTATATTTGTCAAACAACACGTCTGTTTTTTACTTATCAGAATCTGCCCTGAAGGGCCTACATCAGTTGCCACCTGATTTCCCAGCCCAGACACAACTCGTTGAAGGGCGCAAAGGAAACCCATTCCAGTGATGTCTATTAGTATCTCGTTCCTTCCGACGGAAACCAACAGATACCTACTGGAAGGATGGGTACGTGACTATTTCAAGGCCAGCGCATTTAATACATGCTCCCACCAACCCTTACAGACCATGACATAAAAACCATTGGACATTACCTTCGTCTCTGATGCGACGCCGTCAGCGGTCCACACACCGATCCCTGTCCCTCACCACTGGAAGAAGAGAATGAAACAAGACCACGATTGAGACGTCGCATTGGGTATAAATGAACCAGTGCCTGTACACCAGGGTATAAATGGCATGCTAGCAAATGCGAGACAACGCCTATTTGGGCCTGGTTTGGATGCCAGCGTCCGGCAGACCAGAGCCCAATGCTAGATATAACTCTACCGCCCCGTCACAGCCTAAGGATATCGCAGCTCTTCGCTACTTCGTCACGTGATCATAGCAGACGCAATATTTCTTCAAGATCTTGGCCTTTTTTCATCATTGCGTCACACCCACTTTCTTCTGTTCAATATACCAAGTCTATTTAGATTTATAATCAACCTAATTTCTCTTTAGTTGCTTGATTATTATTAACATAATCTAAATACTCTTCGTGAACATTCTATAATACTTTTTATACTTCGTAGCAACCCGGGATTTATTTCTTTTAGATATTAAGTACTTAGCAAGCCTAGGTGATTTTGCTACACACCCTTGTCATATAACCCGGGGACTTTTCGCCGAAAGAGGAGGAAGATAAACGTAGGCTCTTGGTCCTTGTGACCAGGGCGCTTGGACCGGTTCTGTATTAAATTATAGTTAAGTTATAGTTAGAAACTTTCCGGTCTACTTTTACTTCCGGCATTCTTGGTCCTTATTACTTTCGGCTAGCGTAGTCCCTAATCTTCTGGCGTTCTTACTTTACTTCCGCCATTTCTGACCTGCGCATACAGCGGCCATATCAGCTTTCTACTTTCGTTCCCGCACTGACCAGCATTTGCAACGGCCAAAAGCCCCTACAACTAGCATTTCTGAACCTGCTCATGCAATGGTTGTAACAGCCCCTTACTGCAGGCTTTTCTGGACTTGCGCAGCTCTTTACTTCCGGCTACACACGGAGAGACCATCTTTGGCGTTCTTATTTCAACCTAACTCACCTCGTTGATTGGCGTTAATGGACCTGTTCACAACAGCACTGAAGTTCTGGCTACTACATTGGTCCCTACTTCCGGCATCCCTATTTTAACCTAACTCACCTGGTTTCTTAGGAAGTTGTTGCATGCATATCGTCCAGACTTCAAACAACCTATTCCGTAGACTTTGATTAAATACTACGTTTGACTTAATCAGCAACTAACCATGCATTAATGCAACATTGTCTATTATTTTTTCGCCGCTTCATCATGGATTTCATCAACGCCTGAGCCGAACACTACAGCTATTTCGACCTACTTTCAACTATCAACTTCCGGCGTTTCCTTTCAACCTAACTCACTTGGGTTACTCAACGCATCGTCGGAATTATCTACCACCGCAGTTTCCTGTCAACCTAACTCACCTGGTTTAGGAAGTTGTTGCATATATATCGTCCAGACTTCAAACAACCTATTCTGTACATTTGGGTTAAATACTATGAACGATTCATCGTTGGACTTAAAAAGTTAACCAACAACTACTCAACGCCAGTACCGAACATTTTTAAGTGAACTTTCGAACTTTGGCTTTTCCGGCAAACATAACTTATCGAGACTCTACTTTTAACATTTAGTCAGTTATATTATCTTTGATCTTCTATCCGGTTAGTATCCCTCCATTTACTTAAGTCCTCCTCCATTACTTGATTCATTGTTGGTTCATGTTTCTTTTCAGTATTTAACCGTAACACTACTTTTGTATATTATATAAATAAATTTTTTATTAATTTAAGTTTGTCGTTTTGTTGTACTCTTGTTGACTTGTCAGATTCACGTCTTTTATTTTTAAATGTTTGTGGGCTATTCGGTGACTCGTTCTTATTTGAACGCAGGAGGTTTACTACAAGAGCCTTTGATTCTACCGTTTAACCCTGAATTCTCATTCCAACAAACTTTTTCGACTAACACGGTAGAAATTGTATGTAGATCAGTACACTGGTTGGGTGGACGTTGCCTTAACGTCATCGGGGAAGGCCAGGGCAATATGCGACACTGTGAGAACTTGGTTCTGCACATATGATGCACCTGAAGAACTTTCTTCCGACGGGGAACCACCTTTTGATTCCCAAAAATACGACTCGTTTCTTACGATTTGGGGAATACGGAAACGTACTTCGTTGGCTTAATAGCCATGGCCTGGCAGAACTGGCCGTCAAAAAGGTTTAAGCCGTAAGCGTATATTCGCAGACAACACGGGCAGCTGTGTCATAATCGTGTCGCCCGTGCTTTGCTGATCCAGCGCAACACTTCCGTCCATGATCTAGGTGTGTCTCTGCTATGATGTTAGTTATACAGTCGTGTTATCAAAGACCACCTCCCTGTCCTAAGGGACAAATACCAGATTCGCAAACATAGAGAAATTGGTAAACTGAGAGAGACAGCAATGGTTAAACCTAAAAGGCACATGCGGAACTAGCTTCAGGAATTACAAATTGGCGATTCTGTTCAGATTCAGGGTCAAGATTGCCCTTACCCTCGCCAGTGGACGAAAAGAGGGAAAATCGCGGAAATACTCGGTAACTGGCAGTGCCGTGCGCGGGTGGATGGAAGCAATCGGGTAACTATACGCAACCGTCGCTTCCTCCGTAACTGACGTCCCACATAATTCTACCCCTGGGAGCGGGTCCCTCGACCTCATGGCACCCCGATTTACAGCCGGTTTAAGATATCAACACGGAAAATAGATTAACCATATCTAGGCTAGAACCGTATGATACCTCTGTGGCTCGGCCGCAGTGACCCGGTGAATTCTCTATGGTGGTCGACACTAATCATTTAAAATCTCGTATCGCCCAAAATACAGCATAAACCAAATACCGCGAGTAATAAACGAGAAGAAATGGAAGTTTAACTAACAACACTGTGGATTCAGTAGGCCCAAACCAAAAGAGAACACCAATATCAGGCGACATCAGCCCCCCAGTCAATGCCCACATCGAAACAGGCGAGCACTATGAACTCTATCACTACAAATGCGAGGACAATTGCACAGATATTCTGGGGCAAACCTTCAACTGACCATGTCAACCCATCCTGTGGTCAGAGGAGGGAAAGGGCATGTAGAATAGAAATGGAAGGTAATGAGGGACTTCCACAAGCAGACATGAGTTACCTCCTCTAGTGTTAAACAACTGACTGGCCAGGGAACAAGGATATTTTTGTATTTGTATCTCGTTGGTACGAGATAAAGTAACTGAAAATTACACTGCCATTGCCGTTGTGGTTACACCTGTGAGTGATAAATTTTCTAGGTCTTCTTTTCTCGTTATGAGTCCGATAAATTTCAGCTGTCTTTTTCTGAATGTAATATAATGAAAAGTTTCCTTGTTCCTATTTTCCTTAATTTTTTTTTTTAAATCCATGGTATTCTGTGAGCATTTACCGTTGGATGCTTTCCTCATTCATTGTTTACTTACAACGAGACTGTTTTTATTTTTCCCCTTACAAAAATTTCATTTACAGCTAAAAGCCTTTAAAAACTAAAAAAATTCGTTGAGTGCTTCATTGCCTCCCCCCTTTTTCCTTAGTGCTAGTTTTTATTCTACTCGTTTTCTTTTTGAATTTATAAATATTGTTTTATATCTCTACCCACGATCTCTGTGTAGTTTTTGTTCCGTTTTTAGTACAGGTGATAAAATATTACGTGAGGACTGAGGAAGTTCGGAAGAAATCATTAAATAAAATTTTAATTTAGAAATCGTCTATGTTTCTGTTGTTAGTTAACTTGTTAATCAAGGATTTAATAAAAAAAAAAATTTTTTTTCAAAGAATTAAGGTCATTTTTTATTAAACCCATACCGATCATTGCAGCAACCTCTTCCCATTTTAAAGAAAAAAAAAAGATTAATTTCTCTTGCGTCAATAACTGTCATAAACCTTTTTGTTGAAAACAACAATAAACGTACAGTGCACATTTTTATTCAAAGATTTCACCAAACGTATGACGAAGTACGCACAAATATATGACGTAATACGCAATAAAGAAAGTATGTAATTGGTTGTGCCGAGCAAGAACAACAAACACACGCAACTTACAAAAATAGAAACTTAAACCTATCCATGACGAGGTAAGGGAAAATTAGGTACTACAGAAAGAAAAGAAAATATATCCACGAAAAGGATCTCATAAATAATTATATGTACTTGATTAATTTTTTTCCTTTATTTGGCTACTGAAAAACATTTGCAGTGAAAGTATTCACGTCTCCCTCCTCCGTTTTTTTAAAAATTTTCTATGGATGTGCCTTGTTGCCAGTTGTTGTTTCTTTATTTATGATGATGTGGTTTTGTGATGATTATTTTTTTTTTTTTATAGTTTTTAGCTGACTTTCTATTAATGTATAATCTGTATTCGTTGTTGTTGCCCTAATTTTGTTTTATTGGGTTTAACTTCATTTTTTCCCCTGTTGATTTTGTTTTGTAGAATTTAAAAATGTAAACAAAAAAGATAAAGAAATATTTGAGAGAGAGAGAGAAGAAAAAAGGCATCCACCGAATATTTTATTTTCATTTATTTCTGCATATTCATTTTTATTAATAAATAAGTTAACAAACCGTTTGTTGTGCTTTTTAAAAAAATATTTTTAATGTTATAAGAAAATTAAAAAATAAATCAAGATTGTAAAAATGTTATATTGGCATTGCACACGTAAATTTCATTTTATATCGTTAACTGTTTAAATAAATTATTAAAATTTAATTTATCACAAATTACCATTTAAAAATGAAAACAAAAGAATTTGTTGATTCATTTTTTTTTATTATGGTGCAATCGTACGCAATCCTGAAAATAAATAAACAAACTACAAACAATTTTTTTCCTGCCAATCAAAAAGTTCTTATCTTTTTTTTTTTTTTTTACGTTTTTATTTCTTTTTCTTCACCATTACACTCTTTTTAAAAAGAGCAATACATTTTTTTTATCCTTTTTGTTTGTTTCTTAGAGAATCTTTCTCTTTTGTTTTTCTTCTCTTCTTCAGAAACATATATTTTCGTTTCTATCTTTAAAAAATATCGTCACGTCTATGTTTTTAAGTTTAATTGAGCGGAAAGAAAAAATATAACAAAAACGACATTATTATGGATGTTTATAATTATTGTTTATTATTTGCAAAGAAAACAAATCATTTTTGTTACTTGGATTCCCTTTTAATTTTTTTTTTTACAGGTGCTCCGTACCATTGATCATAGAAAAAATAATTTGTACTTTTCAATAGTAAAACAACGAAAACCTAAAGCAAATTAAATAAACAAACTGTTTTGTCTGCAGATGCGTATTTTACTGTTTGGTTTACCAGTTGAATTTATTTTAAAAATAATCTGATGGCGAGGTTTTCACATTATTGATCAATCTTTAAATTTTAATAATAGTTTTTTTTTGTTTTTTTTTTTTGTACGTGTCTAAATTACAACGAATACGACAATGGAAACAGTTGCCTGGAAATATTGCACATTATTATTCCGTAATTTGGAAATACGAGGTTTCTAGATCCTAAGCAATAAATAATCACACACACACACACACAAAAGAAAAAAATACATTTTCTGCTTTACTGATTTAAAAAATTTTCTGCAGTTTGAAAATGTAAACAATGTTTTTAAAAGTTTTTTTCAATGTTTATTATTTAAAAAAAAAAAACATCCTTTTTACCACCGTCTTCATTGCACACTCTTGTTCAAGAAATAACTGAATCAATCATAATTACAAAGAATTGAAGTTCATTTTTCCCCTACGATGATAATTTTATTATCTCTGGTTACTTGACTTATATTTGATCAGTAACCAGAACAGGTGTCATCATGATTCGTACACACACACACACAAACAGTAACACTGAAACAAAACACAATTTAAGCTTTGCTTAATATTAATTTTTCTTTAAAAATTTTTTTAAAATTATTTTTTCTTACTTCAAAAAAAAAAAAAAACTCTTTTGCTCGCAATAACATTCACTTTCTTTATTTTCATTGAGAGTATATTATTTCAAACAAAATGAATACAGATAAAATACCAGATATGTTATCTAATTTTTTTTTTCTCACTCTTTTAGTCTTCTTTATCTTTTACTTTTTTTGTCTCATTCTCTGGTGATAGTCTTGACCAGCCAAACACGTCACGTACACTACACACACACATTGTAATTTAATGACAGTAAAAAATTAAAAATCATTTGAATTCGTGGTGTAGTTTAATGGGCGTTTAGAAATGTTTTTTTAACTTTATTTGAAAATCATATTTTAATTTTCAGCTCAGTATTCTGTTACTAATCTTATTAGCAGAATAAAATCAATTGGGATGGAGAAGCGGAGAAAGGTATCACCACGGACTTGTTAAAAATTCTGGAAAAAAAGCATTTTAAAAATATTTATTTTAATTAAATGTCTTTCTTTAACGTTAAATTTTGGTTTTATTTTAAAGTTAATAGCCTAAACCTAATCCTTATTAAAATAAAAAATTTATGTAAATAAAGTTTTTAGGCATTTAAAATATTTGCACGTTCACTCGTCTCTCATCAAACCACCATTATAAACGAAAAAGATAAAGAAGAAACTTAAAAATCTTTTAAAAATTTAATATTTGTCCTATAGATTTGTTTCAAAGTTAGTAAATTTAAGGATTAATTAACTGCAATTTGTAAAAGTAATGCTTACTTTTTACTTACAACATAATGAAAAAAAAAATGACTTTTATTTACGCACGGTAGGCTCCGATGTCATAGGTTAGAGAACAGAAACTATACCTCTGACTTAAAAAAAAAAAAAACGCGCGAAAAATTAAAAATAAAAGTTAAAGAAAAATGGAACACCAGCACTCTAGTAATCAAGAAATTGGTATTTATGTTTAAAACTACATTGCTTTTAACCTCATATAACCAATAGTTTAAGAATATAATTTTTCTATACAATTTTATTCTTAGTAGAATGAATAATTTTAATTTTTATATTACATTAAAAAAAGAATTAGAAACTGGTAAAATGATATTTTTGAGTTTAATTAATTGCTTTTTTTAAAATTTTTTTTCTTACCTAAATGCAATGGATTCTGGTGGAATTTGAACTCTGCCAATTCCACATTCTGTGATCATATTTGTTAAGCTGCCTGCCCCCATTTATAAAAGATAATACTGAGTTAATTTACTAATTTTCTATACCACCTTTTGCCTTGATATTAATGTATTGTGTCACTAATCATGTTTTTTTTTTTTAAAATTTAAACTTCTTTGTTTTGTGCATATGAAAATGAAATCCGGTCATATATTCTTTTAAAGGCATTTATACCAAGGTTATATGAAAGCTTCAATAACAATGTTTAAAGGTTGAAATAATTTTTTTATGGTGGTTAATATTTGAACAACCTGTTATGGTTTTATATATTAACAGAATTCTTGGTAAAATTGGGATTTTGATTGTATTACTCAACTTTAATTATTGTTCAAATAAAAAAAAAACTGAGTAAATGATATTGTTACTTTAGGCAAAGTGTCTGATTTCCCTAAAGTATTACCACCCTAAAAGAAGAGTTGGTGCATCCTTTACTGCCTATAGTTATGTTTTCTGGCCTTGTCTTGTTTATTCTTGTTCTATTTGGTTCTAGGTTAGATTAGCTTTATCAGTAAATATTTAGTGTTATGATGGCAACAGATTAAGACATTTTCTTATTTGTTTCTAAACTCTATATTGGCAATCATCATGAAGTGTATAATACTAAGCATTTTTAAAACCTGATAATCCATTTCACCTATTGGTTATTTATTAATCAATGTCCACATAACACTTAAGTGGGGTTTGCAGGTAAAATTCACTGGAAAGTTGTTGGTTCATGGATCAAAGGAAAATAATTCAAAGAGCTCAAACATCTATGGGAATTTACATGTATGACTTATTTGAACAACATTTGCTATTCCCACATGTAACATATACCTGAGGAAGGCTGGAGAGTGCATAAGCTGAAATGCTATGATAAAATCATTAACAAATTATTGTGAATAAGCCAATATTCCCTGTATTTCAGAAGGTCAGTTTACACCATCTAATTTTTATGGAAGATCTATATTTCTACAGATTTAGCCACTTTCTAAAATGGTGTAAAGCAAAGAAGCAGTTCCCATTAAATAAAATGGAGGTAGATTTTCTGAGTATTCCCAGGTGTAAAAATGAGGTATTTGTTTTACATCTGGAAATGCTTAGAAAATGTCCCATTTTATTTAATAAGATTCACAACTCAATTGCCTCAATTACAAAAGTGGAGATTAGTGATCTGCTGCAGCTGATGTGGAAGGCTTGAAATCCCTCCCACTTTTTATCATATTTATAGTAGATATATACACACACACACACATACACATATCTTCAAATGCAGACTCAAAACAAAATTCCTATTATGCTACCTACAACCATATCACAACTCCAAAGACTAAACAACTAATAATCTATAACCTAGGATTGATAAAGTTTCTTTTAAACAAATACTTTAGAACCAAAAGAGTAACTAAATAAATATGAAATAAAGCAAAATAAATAAATAAAATGAACACACTTAAGATCAGGATTATAAATAAAGTACAAATATTAGCCTTAAACAAAAGAGCTGGCAAAAATCCATTTCATTTTTCCCACCCTTCTCATAAGTGTCAAGAAGATTACACACACACACACACACTTCTTTCCTTTGGATTAAAAAAATTCTGACTCATCTGCCATAAATTTATTAAATTCTATTAAAAAATCTTTTTTACTACATAATAACAAAATAGGTAAATTTTCCAAGGTTTAAAACCTCAATATGATAATATACTTTACACGTTTTACTTTTAAATATGACTCTTCATTTAATACAGCTAGTATTTAGTAAGCAACATTAATATACATTTAAAATTTGATTTTATAAACTTACAACACAAATATTCTATCTTAAAAATAAAGAATAAATTTATATTTAATTTGAATTAGGTTATTATGGTTCATTTAATCGGGTTTATTTTCATTGTGTATTTAAGTTTGTTATGTTTCTATATTGGGTTCATTGTAACATTAATTATGTTTGTTTAAAATATTAAAACTTTATCTAAAAGTAGTTGAACTTTAGTTGAGATGTTTTTCCATGATGAAAACTGTAAAAGATTAGTGAAGATCAATATTTACTGTTAATCACCTTGCAAAAACATTATTGAGAGATGATGTCAATATTGAAATGTCATTTATATTTCTGAATTTTTCATAACTTAGTTTATTTTGCCGAAACAGTTTTGTAGTAGTAGTAAATAATTTATTTGTGGACTTGAAAACTTGATTTTTAAAAGTCAGTATCCTTATATTAAAAGTAACTCCAATATATGAAAAATTTTTTTTTTTTTTTTTTTTTTTTTTAAATATTTGAGTTTATTGGCAAACATTGGATAGTTTTATACTCGAGTCTGTAGTTTAAAATTGGGTGGTTTTATATTTGAGTCTATAGGTTAATAATGGTCGAGAAGGTGTTTTGTTTTGGGAGGAAGGTCTTACTGAGCATTTCCCAAGAATAAGAACAAGTTTATATAATACTTGTGACACATACATTATTTTCTTTTATAAACTGTATAGCAAAATAGAATTCTAGTTAATGAAAACTATTAAATTTTGTAATTCTTTCATTAAATGAGCCCCTTTTTTATTTTAAAATATTTTTTTCAGAATTTTAATTCTGAACAGATGTTTAGATTGGCCTTGGACGAAGGCAACCTCCCAGTTTTTGTCTTCCCGCAATCTGTCGCCTTTTACCTGGACGACCACATCTCACACAAACAGGTGTTGACGCTATACAATCCTTATGACTTCCCATTTAGATTCAAAGGTAAGATTAACCAAAACTCTTATATTTGTTTTTTGTTCCTTTTTACCATGACAGTACACTCTTTACTATCTGATTTAATGCAGGTGTGTGTGGAGATTATTAAAATGTGTCTATAATCTATAATGAATTTTGTTCAACTATAAATCTGAAAAGACTTTTATGCAATGTAATTATGTTTACTAATAAATTGCATTTGTGAAGTCCAACAAGAAATTGGCCATAATCTGTTAATGTCCCCTACCCTATTTTGTGGGCATTAACGGATTATAGGTAGAAACTTATAATTAACACCAGATTTTTATTTTTATAATTTATGCCAGATTTTATGGTGGCCTTAGTGGGTTAAAGTAGTGTCAAAATAAATTTCTAATTCAAAGAGCTCAAAGATAGAATATATGATGTATATGGAAAGTTATATGCATGCCTTATTAGAACAATATTTGATATTCTCAATTTGATCGCTAACAGTAAGAAGAAATCTCTTGTTAAGTCTATATATATATTACCCTTACCTGTAATTATTCAACACTAATCAACAAATATCTCAGTCTCTAGTGTGTGTGTGTGTGTGTGTGTGTGTGTGTGGATATATCTGAATGTGATGAGAATGAAAATAATATAAATTCTAATGTTCACTGCATTAATTCAAAAGAGGGCTCAAAACCAAGAGTAGAGCAATAATTATTTATAATTTTCACATACGGACAAAAGCAACTTGCTCACTACAAAGGTGCATTCTTGTTTCGATGCGACTGCATCTCAACTAGTGAGAACCAAAAATGCTTATGAACAATTCTATTTTCAAGCAAACTGGAAATGTTCATAAGCATTTTTGGTTCTCACCAGTCAAGATGTAGTCCCATCAAACCAAGAATGTATCGTTGTAGTGAGCAAGTTGTTTTTGTCCGTATGTAAAAATTCTATATATATTAATTTAAATAGAAAAGAGACAACCTATATATTTATAATCATTGCCATTCCTTCACTAATGAATTTATAATTTAAGGTTGTCTGTTTTCTATTTAAATTAATTTCTCTGATTTGACATTGAGCTCTCTGGATTATATCCTCCTTGGGATTATCCATATGGATTACCAAAATTTTTGTTACTTAATTATATAAATATATAGATTTTCTAAAGAAGTAATGGATATTTTATTTATTAATCCTACAGATTTTTATCACTTTTAAACATTATTTCTAGTGGATATTCATCTTTGGTTAGATGTTCTGTTTGTTTATTAAACAGTATATTTATTTTTGTCTACTGGCTTGAATATCTGAGAAATCTTATTAAAGAAAAAAATGTGCACTGTTCAGACCTTGCTTGATTGGCAAAGCTTGTTTGTGGCTGAGTTGGTTAAGGCCCGTTGGATCTAACAACAGTTTCCCTCTGTGTAGGGGGAGGCAGGTTTGAATCCTGAGCACATATTTTTCTTTTATAAGATTTCTGAAATATTCAGGCTGGTAGACGAAAATAAATAAATATAGTTTAATAAATAGTCTACTCAAATATGGGTATCCACTAGAAATAATGTTTAAAATATATAAGATAAAGAACAAGTAGGAAATATTTATCAATCTGTTTCACTTTTTTTTATTAGACTATCTTAAAAACTGCCCTATCAGGCGGCATTTAAGCTAGCTCCTGTGGAGAGCTCTTGATTGGACCTTCAGCTGGTTTAGTCCCTAAGTCTTTGCATATTCTCAGCATTGGAAGCTCTCCTGGCAGCTGTTTGATCTGGGTTTTCATTTGCACAGAACTTTCCTTTCCTCACTGCAGCCTTGACTCTTTTGACTGCAATCTGGTCCTCTGTTGGCAGTTTTTTTTTTTCCAAAGCATACTGCTGCTGTATGCAATAGAACTCAAAATTTATAGCTGTATTGCATTAATATTTAAGCTTACCTTTTAAAAGTTCAACAATAATTCTTCTGCCACCACTTAATAAAGACAATTTGATGTATGTAGGTCCTTACTTTCTGTACAAAAAGTTAATTTTATTTCAGGGAAGGCTTTCACTAGATTTCGCAATTAATTTCAATTATTCACAAATTTATTTCCAAGTAATAAAATTGTTGTTGTACAGAAAAAATTTTCCCCAAAAAAATCATGAAAAAAAATTGCCAAAACCAATCACAGTAACAAAATCTTAGAAATCCAAAATTTCTCTAACATGAGCTATTGAAAGTTAGAGTTGTGACCCTTTAATTGAAAAAGCATGATACACTTACATTTGCATTTATTATATAGATTAATAAACATTTCTTATTTGTTCTTTCTCTTATCATTGCCAGATTCTAATCCATATTTGATACCACACACACACACACACACACACACACATATATATATATATATATATATATATATATATATATATATATATACACATGCACACAAAAATTTCAGTTTGACCATTTATATGATGCCATCTTGAGAGAGTTGAAAATTGATTCCATCAGACATGACAATGTTGGAATCAAAACCTAGTTGCATAACACTACACACAGAACAATCATTGAAAATGAATGAAGAATCATTCAAAAATACTCAGGAAAAAAATAATATAAAATAAAAGTTACTATGAATTTTGTCCAATTTACTGATAAAACAACCTATTCAGAAATTTGAAAGATTTAATAAAAAAATGATAGAATTTATTATTTAACAAAACATGTTTGAGAGAGTTCTTGCTGACAAAATGCACCTTATTTAATATATATATACTCTGTATAAATATAAACCTTCTGGTGTAACATGCATTTGTTACATTCATTTAAAGGAATAAACTTGTAGAGGATTGCAGATCTACAGGTTTGTGATAGAACAAGGTTGAGAACCATTGGAGAATATTAATGCAATATTCAGAAATGAATTTCAACATAGGATATTTTTATGTATTTTTATTTAAGAAATAACATTATTCACAAAAGAGAGAAAATATAATAGTATGTATGCATCTAGCTAAAAAACATTTGTAAGGTTAGTGGTAGTGTGTGTTTGAGTATGTGCATGCGGTAGATGCATCATGTAGCTGGGTGGCTAGGTCTCCCTCAAGGGATTATTAAACTAGTCTTCTATTTACTGCATTCTAGAGTGAGAGAGCGAGAGCTAGAGAACTATGTCCTTTCTTTTATAGTCCTGAAACATCACCATCTAGCAGGTGTCTTGGCAGACCAGGTGGAGGTAATCCCTGACAATACTCACGGTAAAATTTTATCTTGCCTGTAGGTCAAGAATGTTTGAATTTGTTTTGTTCTTTGTAGCCTGTAGGTATAGTTGAGATGTAAGTGATTAACATGATGATGAGAAAATATTTGTTTGAAGTTCTATTATCAGTGTGCTGTTGAAATCTCTTGTGTGTCAGAATGTAGCAAGTTTTGAAGAATATATTAGTATTTTTTTGTATTGAAAAGGTCAAGAGTGTGTGTAGTTGTTTGTTGTTTTTTTTTTTTTTTTTTTTCAATAAATCCACTTTACTTTTGTCTGGGCCATACTTTGCCATGGATTTTATTCTGGTGATACAAATGTAACAGAAGGAAGCTTTGAGTTGTAAATTTGTTGAGTTGATCCTGGTGAAATTGATGCCAAGTGTCAAAGCATGTTTTATGAAGAGATCTGGTATGATGATTTTTCTTTGAGGTTTTGGTGTCTCTGTTATCATTATTTGAACTTCCAGATATCTTAGTAGTTCATGTGAATTTTTGAAGCATCTGTGAATAATTGGGTTAAATCACATCAATTTTAAGTCTGTACGAGACTGCAGTGGATTGGAAGGATTTGAGAAATAGACTTCTTGGTTTGAGTTGTACTTTGTATTTGCAGACATTTTATGTGGTCCATGTAATGTTCTTTGTGAAGTTAAGTGGAATTCTGAAGATACTGTATGGTGTTTTCTACATTTTTGAAAGTGTTAACATTTTTAATTTTTGTTACTTCAAACATTGTCAGAAGAAAGTCTATACGTAATTTTTTGTTTTTAATGAAAAATCCCCACGTTGTCAGTCAAGTTGTTTTTCTGTGTTGAAATGGTGTGTATGATAAAAATTCCCACATGTCAGTCATGTTTTCATTGTTGAAATATATTACAGTGACTTGTTTCATGTAAAGAGCTTTGCATCTATTTTAGCCTATTTTTAATCTTTTTCTTAGCATGTAGAATGTTTTGAATTACTAAAGAGTTCATTTTCCAGCATGTTTGGTATATTTTTTATGTGCATGTGTAACAAAGTTTTTTCTTCAAGTTCCAATAATTTCTCTTGGATTTGGAATTTTCTTTGGTTTGCTTTTAAGTTTGTCAATGAGAGACATAGTAGTAATCAAGGAAAATTTTGATGTCTGTTGGTGGTAGAATTAATTAGAAGATAGAAGCAGTTGTAGAGGTTGGAAAAGGGTGAAATGTCATTCATAACTGTGTCTGAGATAAAATGGGTTAGAAGTAGTATTGGTGGTGGCTATCCGTAACTTTTCTCCATGTGTGTTGAATTTGTTATGAGAAATTGTGTTGATTTGGAATTCCATTTTGTAAACAGTTTCCTTTGTCTTGTAGTTGTGTTTTGCACTTTGTGTGTTTATATCAGGTCATCATTGTCATCATTTGCAGAGGATTGTGGGTTTACAGGTTTGTGATGAAACAAGGTTGTGACCCATTAGAGAAATTGAATTCAACATTTTCTGGAATGAATTAGAGAGAAAATGTATACATGTAGCTGAAAAGAGCAAGAAGAAAACATTTATAGGATTAGCAGTAGCGTGTGTTAGCAGAATACATGTATATAGTAGATGCACCAAGTGGCTATGTTCCCCTAGGAGGAAAGATTAAAAAAAGTCTTCTACTTATTGTATACTAGAATGAAAAGAGAAAGAGTGAGCTATAGTTATTCTTTTATTGTCCTGAAACAGCACCACCTAGTGGATGTCTTGTAAGACCAGGTGGTGGGGGCTAATTCCCACAAACTATATCACTTCCTGACTCTTGTAAATGGAAAATTGCATGTATATGTTTGTGTATGTGTAGATGCAACTTTATTTGTAGTTAATATTCAAATATAAAGGATAAATGCAATATTAAAAAAGCATACTTAAAGATATACAGTACTGTTTAACAAGAAGTGTAATTGATGTTTGTTATTTCAATGTTTGTGAAGAAAAATATTTTAAAAATGATTTCCATAGAGACTGTAATAAGAACAAAAACAACCAAACTTATTTTTTATTATATATTCTATATGTTATATAAATATTAATTATTAACAATCATATTTCAGTGTTAAATCTTGTAGAAATGATTTTACCAGCTGAGACAGTTTTTTTTTTCTAGTTTCTTTTTAAATCATTTTCCTCCAAGTAAAGCAATAAAGCCACTAAGATGTGAGGGGTTACTGAGTGTGAAAGAATATGAAAAATAACATTATTAAGGAGAAAGAAGATTTAAGAGAACAAGAATTAAAAAGACAAGATAATGCCTGACATTGCATGTAAATCTTTGAAAATTAAATTTAACTGGAAAGCAAGCGGCCAGAAGAGAGTTCCAAAAGTGAGAAGTGTGAAAGAAGAAACTGTTAGTATAGAACATACAGTTCCATCTAACCATTTCAATTGTAAAATGATGAGATCTATCTGCCAATCTAGTACTGCACTTAAAATTTGTAAAATCAAGGTACAATAGAGAAAAGTTCCTCAGAACAATTACCTTGAAAGTATTATAGAAAAGGCACAGGGAAGCTATGTTATAGCAGTAGAAAAGTGACTGAAAGCAAAATGCCAGGTCAAGACCAATAACATTGCAGATTATTGTTTTGATTTTATCAAGAATCGCTAAATACATAACAGAAGCACCAGATCAGATGTTACAAAGCAAAATTCAATACATTCATACAGATTAATAATTTTCTTAATAAGTTGTTTGTTTTATAAATATAGTTTTCCCCCTATTACATTTCCAAATGAAATCTTATTTCTGTTTTTCTTATGGGATTTTGATAAGCTGGTGTGATAAATGACACATAAGATGATATCAATATTACTAAACTGCTACAAAGTAAACTATTATTTTCAAGCTACTTTTTTTTCCATGGTATTTGAAACTAACTATTCTGGTTATTGAATTTGAATTTACATAGACTTGCACACAAAATACAGGAATGAGGTTTAAACTTTTTTTTTTTTCATTTAGAGATACTTTGTCAATTCTTGTGATCAGTCCTGGGTATAACGATAAACTACACAAGCATCAAGGCCTCAGATTGAGGGTTTTGAGGAGTGTTCAACCACCTCTTGATTGCTGTTGTTCCCAGGTTTACCCTGACCCAGCATGAGTCCCAGCTTTGGGCAAATAGTGAACTCTCAAACAAAAACAATATGAAAGTATAAAAATACATTTTATAGTTAAAATACATATTTATCATAGAATTACCAATAATTTTATAGCAAAATGACTAACAATACATCTTATCTGTAGTTGAAGGCATTACAATTGTGTTCAAAATATTTAGATTTTGGCATTAAATAACCCATAGAAGTTGATATGCCACTAAACAAAATCAACCAATTTTTGAGTTGAGCCTTGATTTAAAAAAAATTTAATTGTTTTTTATTTAGTAAGAACAAGTAACATTCTCTGGGTTCCTGAAATCAACTTGGATGTAAAATTTGACTGAAACTTTTCATTCTTCATACTTTGTTAATTCAGTTGTTTTGTCCATTTCAGTTTTGGGTACTGCTCCCCAGAAGTACCATGTGGATTCACCAGAGGGAGCTGTCAAATCTAAATGCTGTGTTGATATGTAAGTGTTTTAATTTTGGAAATTAGCTTTGAAAATGTATTAAAACTTTTTGTAAAGTAAACTTATCTTCATGACATTGCTTCAAACTTTCATGTGTACAGGCTGAAATTCTTTTAAGGCATTTAGGGTGCCTATAAAAGCCAATATAGTTGACTTGTTAGTTTTTACATTTGGACATTCCCTGACAGCAATGTGCCAGCCACTAAAAAAAAATATTTCTTTCTCTTTTATTCAGGTACACAGAAATGACTTTACTAAAATTAGGCTCCCTAGGCAATATGTTTCTACAATAAATTAATATTCATATATGACATTTAAACTATAAAAATGGTTTTCATCATATGTGATGTGGTTGTTGTTTTATGTATCTTATCTTTTATATTTTATTTTCATATATGAAAAATAAAAGAATTAGCTTATATGGTATTAAAAAATCCGACAAGCCTAGCATAAAATGAGTACTAGTAATTAAAAACTTCCACAGTGAGATTTATCAAGAGAGGATGAAGCTCCAATATAACTTGGATTAAAGATCAGATTATAAGTGGAACATACCAACAACTGCATAAAAATACTGAGTAAAAGATTTCACCTAAAAATTGTCTGAGAATGAATTGGCTGAAATGTATGTTGTGGGGCGGAAAGCAACAACTCAGCTGAAATTGATAAAAACAATTGGACATAACTGTAAAATGTTTAATATAAATTTATGAATTAGTGAAAATCTTCCTTTTTTTTTTTGTCTAAGAAAAGATATGACAACAGATTATGAAATCAATTATTTCAAGTGATTGTCATGACGATTATTAACTATGAAGCTACATCAAATGTCATGACAGAGCTGAGTTCTAATTCCATTCAAGTTTGATATAATCTCGGGAAAGGTATTAACACACTTCTCCTCTCCCAAGCTATGGGTCAAATAGTAAAACATGTATCAGTAAATTATTATTATCTCCAAAAAAACTCTTACAATCCAAAAATATTTTCTGGCTTTAAATAACCAGCAAAAGGTTGATAACACATAAAAAACAAATCAATCAAAAATCATAATTAGATACATCAGAAAGCAAACAAATTATAAAAGTATTGAAAATTATTAAAATTTTCAATACTTTTCAGTTATTCCAGGAATAATTTGGAATTGTATTCTCATCATTTTGGGTTTTTTTGTCTTTCCCCAAATATTTGTTGCATTCAAGAATTCCTGATTGTTGTCAGTTTCACTAATTGATATTTAATTTAACCCATTAACTGCCAAATTTTTTAATGCACATTTTTGGCCCAGACAGGTGTCTTAGGAGTTTATTTATTCCTTATGTTTAATTTCAGTAGTTACCATTGCCATTTTTATAGAAACTAGAACATCAAATATATATGTGTATAAAACATCAAAAAATAATACTGATTAGAAATAATAAAAAAATACTTTTCAAAATAGTCATTATTTTTCTACTTGTGAAATGTAAAATTACAACAGAAAGTGTCTTCTTACGGCTAATAATAAAAACTTTAAAAACTAAGTGTTGTAAAATATACCTCTGCAAATACAATGTATATAAGCAATTGAATGTAAATACAAGGAATAACATGCAGTGAGTTTAAATTTAACAGATCCCCAAATGGGGCTCATGGCAGGTAATGGGTTAATATCATCTGTTCTAACTTAATTCTTTCAATCACATCTTTTATTAAAGCAAAGGTAGGTTTGTTTTTTTTTTTTGTTATTAATTCATTGTTTTTCTTCAATATTAAATGTTTATAAAGTTTTTTTTTTTTTTTTTTTTTTTGTTCAGTACATACCAAAGTGCAATGGTTAACTCTTGTACCAATTCACTACTACCAAGAATTTGATCCACATGGTGTCTTACTATTCTTATGACTTTATTAGCTACACTTCAGAAATTTATGCTCAGTGTTTTCTTTTCTTTTACTCAATATTTGAGCCAATTGATTTTCTGGCTATCTATAATGGGGGGAATGTAATGGATAATTGGGTCAACTTGACAAGAGACCTGGAGTTATGTCCTCTTTCACAATTGGCTGTTGAGAGAGGACATTCTACTTACAGTAGATGGCACTAACAAAATTTTCCTGCAAATGATACTGGGCAGGTATTAGCCAATAGTCAGTGCACATCTGGGACTGAGAGAGAGCTATATAATGCCAGCTTTTTCTCAGTAATGGAGGAGTGTTTTCGACATGCAGAAAACCAGACAAAATGAATACACTATCTATAAGTGAAATAAATTTTCATCAGTACAGAATTTGTTGTTGTTCAATTCTGTTGTCCAGTATGTATATGTATGCATATATGTACAACAGTTCTCACTGTTTTAATTGATCTATATAAATAAAGCACAGTATACGTGTGTCCATCCATTTTTGTGATCTTGTTGAATCATAAACAACCTGAAGTAACAGGTAGTAACTATTGTAGTTACATGTGATTAAAAATTAAATTCATTTAAATATCAAACAGTGAAAGGTTTAAAAAACAGTTCTATATTAAAGGTTTAACTTTAATTTCACTTTTCATTGAAATTGATATTGTCTAATTAAAATGTACTTAAAACTTAAGCATGGTACATTGTGTATATGTTTTTATTTATTTTTCTAGCACACATACTGTGATGTATTCGAAATATTATATAGTTAGAGTTCCCTAATGTCTTTTAAAACTGACTTTATGTGAAGGGATCATAAAGAATGGTGATTTTAAAAGAAAAGTATATAAATAAACTATGGAGATCAGTTGCGTATACAAAGAAAGATTATGCTGAATTAAGATAAAATGATTTTATTATTTCTAAATTCTTATAACTTATACGTACATACGATGCTAAAGCTAAAAGGCTGAAGGTCCAAAAGCCCTCTGCAGGAGCTCACTTAAACTCTGCCTTCTAAGCTAGTATATAATATATACAACTGTTGAGATTAAGAATAGACTATTATTATTGTTTAATATTTAAGCTCACCTGAATACTGGTTCATTAAAATTGATGGAAACAACAACAACTGAATATAGTATGACTTAATTACTGAAAGCAAATTGAAAAAAAAAAATGTTCATTTTGAGATAACAAATGTAAAAACAAGATTTGTATTTGATAACAAACTTTTTTGAATTCTATAATAGCATTCTAAGAAAAAAATTTAAACCCTTGCATCTTAGTAGCTTTATTGTCTTGCTTGGGGTGAAATTATTATTATTTTTTTTTTTTTTTTTAAAGTACAGTAATGAGGAAAGAAAGGTTAGAAGATTTGACACTCACAGGAGATATTTGAAAGCAAGAGGGATAGAGGGGAAACAGCAAGTAACCTACCTTATGAGCTTGTAAAAATAGATGGCAAAACAGGGAATGGCAGGGACAATAAAAAGACAAATATTAAGTGATACAAAGGATAGGAAGTTGTGGAGAGCCATGATTGCCCACATCCTGAAGGGACATTGAACCTAGAAGTAGTAGTTCAGTAGTCTCTCAGCAAGGATATATTTTTCTTGTACATTCATACATATGATAAAGTTTAATTTATAGATTAGGCACAGTAAGAAATTAACAGTAACTAATAATAGAATAAAATAATTATAACAATATACTGCATTAACCATTATACAATGAATAGAAGATTCATTCTTATTGGTGATCTTAGCAATTTCAGTATTTCTATCCTTAATAAGCTGAAAACTTTCATTTTACTTTGACATGTCCAAATTGTCACCATTGTGACTTTTACACTTTCTTCTATGTACCATGTTGTCTCAGGACGTTGGTGATCATGGCTCTCCACAATTTCCTGTCCTTTGCAGCTCTTAATAAATTTTGTCTTTTTATAATCACTCCTAAACCCTGCTCTGCCATCCATTTATTCAAGCTTGCGAGATAGATTATACGCTACTTTCCTCTGTCCCTCTTGCTTTCAATCTGTCCTGTGAGTATCAAATTTTCCAAACCCTTTTTCCTTGTTATATGCACTAGAAATTTTAACTGTCTCTTCCTGATGTTAACCCTTGTTTCCTGTTTAGAAATGGTTTTCTGGTTCCTTCTAAAGTTTTTACTCTTACTTTGTAACCCTCTACCTCTTGTGGTACTTGGGCCTTGTAAAGAGTGAACATCAGTGTAAAAAAACAAAATATATAAGAGTCCTTTTTGTTTACATTTTACCACCATTATTAAATAAAAGTTACAGATTAATCATATTTGGTATTGGTCATGAGTAACTGAATCCTTGAGGTTGAAACAAAAGTGAACCACTGTATATTTTTCTTTTTCACATTAGTTTTTCCTCTTGTTGTATTCCTTGTTTAACCATTAGACTTTTGTCTTTTTAGTGTAGTCAAGCATCGGCAACCGAACAGAACAAATGAAGGGATCAAAGATAAGTTTCTTCTACAACTCTACCAACATGGACATGGCAAGAAAGTTTTGGGTAGGACCAAGTTTGTTTATTTATTTATTTATATGCTAAAGTTCATCCAAGGCTTGAAAAACACTCAAAATGGTTATAATAAATGAAGTAATGGTATGAGTGAGAGATGAGGTGATAGAAAGTGAAGATCATGAGGATAAGTAAGATAGATCACAACTGACTCTTGACTTGAAGAGGTTAAGATTGTAGTCTTCAGGGAAGTATTCATGTGAGTTTCTTCCTCAAAGTAGCAATTCTTGCAAAGAAATTGTCTGGAACTTTCTCCTTACAATTGGAATATGGAGTGTAATGAATTGACAACAACAAGAATTACCACATAATAGTTGCTTTATTCAACATTACTACTATTATTACTGCTACTGTAGCATGCCAATCTTTGAGTTGTAAAAGTTCTTTTAAGAGTTCCGTTAAAGGGGAATAATCAGAGTTCATTATAACATGGAAGATTTTTTTGTATTTACAAAAAAACTTTTCAAAATATGTCTGCTCAAACATTTATTAATATATTTTTATTAAAGAAGGGACATTATGAACACACACATGCAAAAAAGTCTGCATTTTAGTTGATAATTGCTGTTATTTATTTTCTGAAATTCAGTTCAATAATTTTAGCATTAGGAATAATATACAATAAAGATTAGGTCTTTTTTTTTTTTTTTTTTTGTTTAAATCAGGCATTTCATGTATTCAAAATATTTGATAAAGAGAGTATAAAGTTATAGGGAGACTACTTACCAAACTCATTTTATAATGCAAGTCAATGTTTTATAATAAAATAGATATTAATCAATTGAGGTTGGTGAAATTTTCAGGATATATTTGTATAATAAATGAACAATTTGAATTTCAGCTTATATCTTTTTATGTGAAATATTTACAATAACTTATTTGGTAGTGGGAGATTTCATTCCTTTTGTTTAGAGGGGGAAAAATACAATCTGTAACTTTCAGGGTTGAAATATATTTGCCATTTAGGCATGAAGGATTCTGTTACTTTTTTTTCCAAAGTATTGCAAAATAATGAGTTACTATCAAAATCACAATGAAAAATAATAACAAGTGTAGAGAGGAATATTTTCCATAGTGATTATCTTTAAAAAAAAGTTCTTCAAAATGATATTTAATAATGCTTTTTAAGATGACAAATTTGTGAATGGCTAGGCTAATATTTAAATAGCAGCAGCAGCAATAATATCTTTGTTTTTTTTTGTATCATCAAAAGGTAAAAATTATTTTATTTCCAAGATGCAATGATTATATATGCAATGTGATATTGAAAAAGTTCTTAGCCTAACCAAGAAGGGATTAAAAATGACCTGTTTGGTCATTTGGTTAGTGGGTTGGACTGAACTTATCAACACCCTCTTGCATAATTAAATCTATATTTTATAATATGTGTTTGTATTCTAATATATATGTGATATGATTATATGTGTATATAATTTAATAAATATATTTGATATCTCAGTGTCTAAAATATTACAAATCTCCTTAGGAAAAAGGGAAGTGACTGCAGTCCTGTATCCCTCACGGAGGTCAGCACCCAGCTCTCGACCAGAAGATGATTTCCAAACTTTGCCAGTTGGAGACAAATCAGATTTGCAACAAAGACCAGTCACTGGGGATGGTTAGTATGTTTGTTGTTGAGTTTTGATCTGAACAGATTTTGGGGACAGTCAATTTAAACAAACAATTGGTACCTGTAAGAAAAAATGAAAATATTTTATAACAAGAAAATCCGTTTCTAACAGTGATTGTCACTGGTGCTTATGCTTAAAAAAATTCTTAAATTGATATACAATTACTTCAACTGTAAAGGAATTTAATTTTTGTCATTTACAGTTGTAAGGGGTTACTTAGTATGGGATAATGAGGAAAGAAAAAAAATTAAAAAAAAGAGAGAACAGTAAAAGAATAGAAATTAAGAAGACTGAAGATAACGAATGACATTGTATTTAAATATTCAATGCATCGATGAATGATAGACTTATAAATGTGTAAGATAGATTCTGTTGAAAAAAACTTTCTAGCAAGACATAGTGAACCAACTAGTAATGGAATGTATCTCACCATAGAAATAGGGAAAGTGTTAGAGATTTGAGGATACTTGCTTTTACTCATTCACAGGAAGGGCCACAAGATGACCCTTTTGTGAAAGCCATATTAATAAGAAATAATGTGACTTTCTCTATATTCCTTTGTTTCTATTTTACTTCTATTACACTGAATAAGCCTATATAAGATTAACATGTGAATCTTACTCAGATTTGAATATCCAACGTCGAGGTGAGCAAATGAGTGACATATCCATTAATGTCAGCATTCTGTTGCTTGAACAACACAGTAAAATTAACTGGCAGCTACTAAGTCCGGCAGAACATACAGATACTACATCGAGTTTGATCTGCATTGGGTGCCCCATAATTTGGGCTTTGTACCACATCTAAGCTAATGCTTAGAAAATCATTATGGGCACTCTGTGTGGTGGAATGGTCAGCAAGCTTGTCTCACTAGATCAATTACAACTGAGTAGTGAGTTTAATCCTCACTGAGTGCTCCATACTTTCGGCCTTGTGCCACATGTATGTTAATGCTTAGAAAATCATCATTAGCTCTATGATAATAGTAATAAGTACAAAGTAGATGATTGTAGAGTACAGAGAAGTTAGAATTACTGTACAATTATTTTTTCTATAACAAGGTTAAAAAAGAGGACCAAAACTATTTAGTCTGTTCAGAGATATATTTCGTAGATGTTTATGATTACAGACAATCAGAATGTTTTGGTTCTGAAGGCTAAAGTCTGTTTCTGCAAATAAGGTTTCTCATCATACAATTCATCAATCTAGTTCATGAAAGCACCCATTCCATTTAATGAAACAGTTAAGAGGGGTCTGTCTGTCTAAAGAATGCTGAAATTCTTCATTGAAGTGCTCGCTCATTGAAGAAGATTTCAACTTGAATACTTTTTAATATTGACTCTCCTTTCATATTTTTATCTAAAATTTTGGTTAAAATTCTACTTAAGGGATTGTCTAAATCTTTAAATCTAATCTATTTTTTTTTTATATTTGTTTTGTACAGAGCAACACACACTTACAAAATGGCCAAGTATGTTCCTTATTTCTCTTGGAATGATTTGTATATCTATCCTGATGCTGCCAAATGAAGGTTCAGATGTTGAATCTGTTTTGCCGTCATTTCTTAATGTGAGCGTCAATCAAAAGTGTGTGGCTGCATATGTCCTTGGTAAGATATGTTCATTTGTATCTTTGAAAGAATGATATTTACTGAGTTTGGTTTAGTTTGGCACAAGGCTGCCATAATAGAATACCTAGTGAGGACTGAGCTAATAATCTGCAAATTGCATCTTGTGTATGTGTGTAGTTTTTGTGTACTTGTGTAATGACTGTAACTTTGTAATTTAAAAAAATGTATATTTTATTTTTGTGTGTATAATATTTAAACAATATTTAAGTATTTTAACAGTTGAATCTGCATTATTTTTGCATAACTAATTCAGGATTTTTATCTATAATTAACAGCTGTTATAAGAATTAATTTTGTGTTTTAAATCATTAAATGTAAAAATATACAGAAAGATGATGCAAAACAAAAGGAATAAAAAGCAATGTATTAAAGTAATATTTAATCCTAAATAGAGGAGAAAAGGTTGTGTAGCCGATAAATATATAGCGTTATATATTTATTTGCCATGAAACCTTTTTCCTGTGTTTTATATTACAGAATAGATAAAATTCCCTTATATGTATACAAATTTTAATATATTTTCAATTTTTCTTTTCAGGGGCAATAACCATGATATTACTAAAGACTTATTCGTAACCCCGGTTGAGTTACCTCCCTTTTTGCATTGCGAGACTCGGGGTCTTTCCACGTTTTATTATAAAATTTGTTTTTATAATTTGTAATAACTGCTGTAATATACTATTGTATATTTTATATTTATTCACGTGAAAAACCAATGAGTAAAAGAATACACAGTGATATTCCGTTTACAATCTTAATTTATATACGAATGTAAATTTCTTCACCTTTCATCTCCAAAAATTATTTTTACTCTTTAATATTTTTTTTAAAGTCTTGTGTAAAAGAAACAAAAATTCACCACCATTTACAAAATACACTTTTGAAAAATCTTTTCTGCCAAGTTTTTATATTTATGATAATGAACTTTAATTGTCGCAGAAATTTGATTATTCTAATATTTCCATCTTTGAATACCATTTGAATTAAGGATTTTTCTTTACATGCTGTCAATGATACAAAGAATACAATATACTATGAAACAGCTTAATAGGTAAACAAATAATAATTTTTCAGAACTATATTGTGATAAAAAAACAGCTAAGATGAGGATATTAGTCTAAGCAAATTTTAAAAATTTATATATTTGCTGTATTTGCTTCCTTGTTATTTATTACCATTGAAAAAGTCCCCCTTCAAAGTTTAAACTTTATTCAAAGTCATTGGAATGCTCCCCTGAATTTATTATGGCATTGGTTTTACATCATGACGTATAGAATTTATTTATATTTTTAACCTATTTGAAACTTTTTTCGTGTATATTTTTTTTTTTTAACATGAATTTTACTGTTTAATTTTTTTTAAATTTCATATTTCTCCAGTTTTTCTCTCTGTTTAGTTATGTCAAAGTTAACAATCATTTATATATTCTTCAAACAAACTTCTGTTTCTAGTGGCGATAATGTCATAATAGATATAAAATTAACTGAAGAAATTCATGAATTAATAAAATTTATTATCTCAGAACCACATTATTGAATCCCAACTTCACTCCCTGATAAATATTCTGCCATAGACGTCATGATGTTTTGTCTAATGTTACAACACTTGATCTGTTGAATTATTTTTAAAAAACTTAGATTTTTAGCGCAAAGCTGATAGTAGCTGATATTTTTTCTTCTTGCTATTTGTGAATACACTACTGCATGATAAAATGCTTATGGTGCTTATATTTATTTATATAAAAAAAAACCCCAAAAAATCATCTGTGCTCCATGAAAAAATTTCTGATGAGAAGACAAAAATAAATGATTTAATTTGATATATACATAAATAATATATATTGTGCATAAATATATGTATATGTATGCGTATATTATTTTGCTGTTAAACTATCCTTCCTAAACAGACAAAAAATAATGTTTGTTATTGTTAGCATAATATTCTATAATACATTTTTTTAATATATTTTCAATGAGTTTTTCATTATTGTATAAAAGGAAAAACTTTTACATCTGACTTGTGAATTTGTAAAACATTAAAATGGCATTCACAATATCAAATGATTTTACTTGTTTTCTAATTGAATGTAATGATTGCCAGTTTTATCAGAACAGACAAGATGAGTTACATTATTTGATGACATATAAAAAGCCCATCTTCTATGTCAAAAAATATCTCCCATGTTCTGTATGTGAAGTACAGCTAATGTTTATCTAGTCACTGTAAAGAGAGCACCTTATTGTAGGGCAGTGATCTCCAAATGGTGTAGCATGCCTTATGGGTGCAGTGGAAGAGTATAGTAGGTGAGGTGGAATGATTGAAAGACAATCAAAGATTTAGAAACAATTACAAAAAATTCTTATGCCAAAAATAAATGATTTCAAAATTTAGAATATTATGGTTTACTTGTAATTGTATGCAGGAGTCCCAATATAAATAATTTTAAATAATTATTGACTGATTTTATCATTGTGATATTTTTGTATTTATATCCAGTATTAAAAATATAGTAACTAGGTTCTGCAAAATGGGTAAGAGAGTTATCAATGATAATGTTCTGACTTCGAATTAGCAGTTATCTCCCTTTAACCCTCTGTTTTTTTTTTTTTGTATTTTTAAATGTACTTTTTATCATAAAATTTGGTAAGGCGTAAACAAATTTTATTCTGAAAATGTGGCCCATAGAAAAAAAGTTTGGGAACCACTGGTGTAGGGTAATGGTTCATCAGGCTAGTCTGGTTGGCTATTACTTCTGAGTAGTGAGTTTGATCCTCACTGGGTGCCTCATGTAAAGTTTGGTATTAAAAACCCTAACAAGGGTTGACATGTCATAATAACAACCATCTAACCAACAGTCACTATAGACTACCAAACCTAATTCCACAATACTGTAATATTTAGTGCAAATGGTCAAGACTTGTAGCCATCCACTAGTATACTAAGCTTAACTAAATCTGGGACAATGTCATTCCACAGTAAGGATAACTCATTACAAGAACAGTACTAAGTAAAACTGGTTTGCCAATCACTGCTCCAAAGAGAGGCATAAATGTGCATTTCTGAATATGAGTTCAAATATAAAGAAATATATATTTTCCAGGTGTTATATGTGAGGAAGAAGCACTGTAGTCTATAGTGTCTGTTGACAACCAGTACTCCATAATACTGTAAATGGTAGGGGTGGTCTTATATACTGTCGGATACAGTATTTCATTTTTCTTGCTGATGTAATTACATTTTTAGGTTACAGAAGAGGCCTTTCATCATGTTAATTCAAATTATATGAACAATTTTCTTTTACTTGATAAGGAGGTGGATTTCATTTCAACCATGTATAGACTTAATTTGAAGGACTTCTCTCTCTTCCCTCATATTAGCGGATTGATTTTTGAAAATTGTATATATCCAACTAGTCAATAGTACTATCGTCTTTGATGCTCTTTTGACTTGTTGGTTTTACTAGCCTTTATAAAGTCAATTTGGTAGCTTTATCTATGAAAATAAGAGTTCACTTGCAGAAATGTGTTCATGTCAACAAAAGGCTATCTTGAGAAAAATGATTACCTACTTGTTGAAGTAGTAAAAACAAAAAACTATAAAAAAAGGTGAGAATGTAAGTATGCAAATAGTAGTACAGCTACTACTATTATAACAATGACAGCAATAATAATTTTTTTAAATGCTATATCCCTTCAAGTGTAGATGATCATGTCTGTCCACATGTTGCTTTTCCCTTATTAGGGAATTGCCATGTCTTTTTAGGAAAGATAGTGGAGTGATTTCTGGTTGCCTTGTTACTCTTTTTAAATTCACTGTAGTCCTTCTCCTAGACTAGAAAATCCAGTCTAATCTATTATTTAATTATACCTGGGAGAAGAGATGGTTTCATGCCTTGCCTAATGATGCAAAAGTGAATCGGACTGACTAGGCTGGAGTTTGAACTTTGTTCACGAATTCCACTTTCAGTGCCAATATACTAACTGCAATAATTATTACCACATTTAAAGATTAAAATATAAACATAACATTTTATATCTAATATCACACTAACTCTAAAGCTTTTCCAGACTGAATTTATTTCTAATTTTTATCAGTTTTAAGACAACTCAAATTTTACTAGTTTTAAGATAATTCACATTAAATTTCACTTGTAAGCTATCTACACAAGTTAATGTCTCCATAATATATTCTGGTAAGATTGTGCTTTGGTTATTTGTAGAAACATTTTTATTTATAAATATCTGGTTTTGATCATCCTTCATGTAAACCAAATACAATTAAATATTCATATTTATTAGGTTGAGTAATGACTAATTTCTGTTTTTGTTTATCAACTTTATTCTTTAAATATATTCCTATTTGTTTCCCAAAATGGAAATTATTTATGATTCAACCTAATATGTTTGGCTAGTCAGATCTTGCCAGTTGCTCTGGAAACAATTAAGTAACTCTCATAATTAACAATATATAATATTTCATTTAAAAATTCTTACTTTATTTCTCAATTTTACCAGTTTTAAGATAGTTTAAATTCCATTTGTAACCTCTCTACACAAGTTAATGTCTTTATATATTCTGGTAGGATTATACTCAGTTTATTGGTAGAAACATTTTTATTCATAAATATCTTGTTTTGGCCATCTTCATGCAGACCAAATGCAATAAAATTACTCCAAAATAACAAAATATATTGTCAATATCAACAACACTTTTTTGTGATTTGCACTTGGTCAACTGCCAATTTTGTTGAAGTCCAAGTCATTATTCATCAATATCCACCCCATTTCAATCTCATTATCAAAATCAAGAATGGTATCAAAATTCAATCATCTATCGATAAAAAGATCACAAAATAAATCAGTAATTTTGAAGCTCACTGTTGTTATAGGGGAGCAGCTGTGTTGCTTGAGTTGATTCAATAATTTACACCCCTCAATGACCAATTGGTATTATATTTGGTTTTAAACAAATGAATATTTGGCCAGCCAGATAATTGAGTCCAGAAAGGATTAATTATTAAAGAAAGTATAATGTACACGTCCACCTCCTTTAATCTGTATCCATTTTATTTATTAATATTATTGAACTTCACCGTTATAATGCTGTTCTTAAATTTTTTTTTTTATACTGATAAATCTGGAAAAATGGTAAAATAATTTATTTCTTTAAGAGACAGAAATATTTATTATTTATAAGAAATATATAATTTTGAAATTAAAACAAAAAGTCCTCCATTGGAAAGAGTTAAAAAAATAATGATTATATCCAAAGAAGTGTAAGCTTGAGAAATAAGAATTAAAAAAATATTTATAAATGCAATTAAAAAAGGAAAGACTGCAAATTTCCCATCATATTATGGTCAGTTGATATTTGTGTGGAACTAAGGAAGAATTGGAACTCTGTTGGGCTTCAGTGCTTATAGTGGTATAAAGATTGATATTCTGGATTCACAAGATACATATTCATCTTCAGATGTGACATAAAAATGTAATTTTGTATCAAATTAGTAATGCTTCAATAAATTAAGTCAAAATCCTAGAGGCCTTAATTTTTATTTATCTTGCTGTTTTTTTTTC